GTTAAGATTTTTTTAAAAATAATACATGAAGAAATTATATGTAACTAAATCTTAACTCACGAATAAATTATCACAATTTCATCACAAATTCATGATTGCTTAAATATGAACAAACGGTTATGTTCTGTCAACAACAAAAATTATACAGGTCATTTCCAAGCTTTAGTTTTGAAGTAGGAATAAAGTAGCCACATTAATTATGGACAAAGGAATTTCTTGCGGTTGATTGTCTTTGCTCATTGTTTTTGGATTTCAAAACCAAATCAAAACTCTTTGATTTTAAGAAAACCCAATTCACCCCTCTTGGTTTGTCTTGCATTTACCCAAAAAAAATTTCTTGGAGAAATTATTTTAGTACAGCAGCATAAAATACCAGCTCGTGCTTTGCATAATTATGAAAGAGCTTCTACTTAGATTCCTATAACTGAATTCCTATAACTGAAGAAAAGACAGTGAATCTAAATCCTAACTTCTGAACCTAACATCAGAAATGAGCTTGAATTTTTTAATGCACCTAAAAAAACTGAAAACATCAACAACCAAAATTCGACACTCGTCTCTTTTTCATCATTATCTCAGCAGCTAAAAAGCAGGCAAAATAAAATGAAGCAATAGCATAAAGGTACCATCGTGGTCACGGATAGTGGCATAGTGACTATTTGCAAGAGGGCATGAACTACGATTACAAATCCCCATTACATTATAAGGATTCCCGCAGAAAATCCCAGTATTGATTCTGAAACAGAACAACAATTCAGAAATTAAATTATTAGCAAGGTTGAGGAGCTAGGTATGCAAGAGGAGGAGCTCGATACTCCCAAGCGTAGTCATGATGTTTCTGATCCAATCCAGTAATCGGTGGGTGGGGACCATCATTCTTTGGAATTCGGCTCTCCTTGAAGCTGGAATTAACAAACAATTAGCTTTTCAATTGTTGTAGGCCGTTTGCAACATATCTATCAGAATAGGAACAAGCTTTTTGTCCAAGCAAACAACTTGGGACACCAATTATATAGATGCAAATAACTTTGGCATGTGACATTGTTTGCTCCCAAACGTGCCCCTTCTGCTACCATAGTCCTTTAGTTCTATTATACTGCATTTCTCTTCTTTATGTAATGTAATGAGCTTTATAATTGCTCTACCAACCGACATTTTGTACCCTTGCCCTAATATATAAAGATACATGCTCCATTCAACATTTGAGTTAAATATCTCTACTAAAAATGGA